GAGGTGGAGAGCAGACAGGGCTGGAAGCTTGAGAAGGTGCAGGGAGGCCTCGGGGCACAGAAGGCCACATTCCCGCGGGGCGTGGGCCTCATCCTTGAGGTAGTTCTGTGGCCGAGAGGGTGTCCCGAGGTGGCCTCCTCCAAAGCAGGTGGCGGAAACGTTTGGTGTGGACTGTGTGGTTTCAGTGTTACATGCTCAATTTTCTCCTGTAACTGGCTTCATGGAGCGAGCCCCCTGGTCAGGGTGTTGGCTAGGGAAGGAGACTTCAAATTGCTACGGGAATAAGCGGGAGAATGGGTCTGAGTATCCAGCTGGGGAGCACTCAGGAGTTTTGAAAGTGTCTCTGGAAAGAACCTCTCAAGAAGTGGTTTTGGCATTTGTCTCTCAAATAGCATATCCTGTGCTGTTGAGAGAGCCTGTCCTTGAGAAGTGGGAAAATTGTGACAGATTCATATGATGGTTCAAGACTTAAAAATCTGCTTTAAACTGATAAACCAAAGAAATCCATTTACCTCATGGGGAAAAAAAGGCAGGAGATGATGTGCTGGGGCCATGACTGGCAGTGCAGGGGAGCATTCTCCTGGCAGTTGGTGTCCGGCAGCGTGGTGGGCAGATGGGCTCTGCCTCCTGCCAGCCGGGCCTGGCAGTGCTGCAGCAATCCAGGGTAAAATGCTAAAGGCCTTTTACTGTTTTGACAGCAGGGCAAGTCCATCCAGTTAACACTGAAAGAGAAGACCATTTTCTCCTTCCAGCAAGAGTTGAGTCCTGTTACTTGCTCCTGTTTTTCTCAAAGGGCAGGGCCCCTTTGGGCCTCAAGAAACTTACACACCCTGTTATGGCAAGACCGGGTGTGTTTTTAAAATGAGTCAGCTATTCTGAGATAATGCTTGGTGGCTGACCTCACTCTGCTAATGAATTACCTACTCCTAATAGAAAGTGCAGTAAACAATTAAAATGGTCTCATTCAAAGCTCTCTGATTCAGTACTAGGAAATGACATTATTACAGTTTCACCATAGATAGGGGTGTCTATTCTCCTGTCTCTTCAAGCGCTTTCAGCCATTCGGCTTCCTGCCCTTGTCTCCAGCTGAACCTGATGGCTGCTCACCAAGAGAGTGGCACTGACAGGAAAAAGCCCTTTCAAGTGCCACCTGGTTGGAGGCAGGTGTTTCCTACCTGCCTTATGATGGCAATGATCAAAAACAGTGACTAAAAGCTATCTCAAAAATTAGCGGGTGCAACAAAGCTCAGCAGGAGGAGAAAGGGATATTAAATAGCTGAAAGAACATTTAATGGGCTGAATAAGAAAGGTCTTAGCCTCCCCTTGGTGGCATTTCTGTTGAGTAGACACTTGAGAACACCACATGTCATCAGCCATGATTTCAGGAGATGTGCTAGGGTTTGGTGGGCAGAACACCAGGGAACCTGGGAGAGGGAGATCGGGGCAGGAGGGATAATTTTTTTTTGCAGCTGATTAACACTCCTGACAGTTTCAAATATCCAAACTTATTTAGAGATTTAAGAAGTTGATGGCAACTATCAGCAGCTAAGGGGGGGAAGGAATCATTGGGAGGGGGAGAGAAGCAGGGGACAAACATTCTCTAGAAAGCAGGGGGTATATGGGACTGGTGTGTAGAAGAATGGAAAAGCAGGGTGAGCACTAACAGAGGGATTAGCTGTTTGCAATAAAAGCGTAGAAACAGAAAAAAAGAGTGTAGGAATGTAGATGTGACAGACACGAGATGTTGAAAGGACAACGCCCTCAAGCCATGGAAGCATCCAAGTGTGCTAAAGTAGTATTTATTTTAAGGTTTCCTACTGAGTCAGTCTGTTTCTTTCTGAAATTACAGAAATAGAACTGGGGCATTTTATAACCTGTGCGGAATCACCTGGGATTCTTCAGGTTTACCCTCAGCGTAGAGCTGCTGCCTCTAGTGAAACGACTTCATCCCCTCTGCTCACAGCACCACATAATGTTTGGGCGCGAGAGCCCGCGTCGGGGCTGTGCTCTTCTGCGGGTGCCACTGCCGAAGGTTTCCAGCCCACAGGCTGCCCTTTCCGCCGCAGCCCGCTTTACCCCAGGAGCCAGCTACTCTGGGGAATGCTGAAACGAGACAGGGAATAACAAGGCTGGGAGGCTTTTATCTACGCTGCAGAGTTCCTGCTGGTGTGCTTACACTGGGATCATTTCATTTTCCTGCTGGCATGGCTAATTTTCATCCTGGAATTGCCTCACTGTACTTCTGCTGGCGTGGCTGTATCTGTTCTGGAGCTGCTGCTTTGTTTTTCTGCTAGCACAACCCCAGCAGCCGGAAGGTAAATAAATCCCTTGGCCATTAGCACTGAGTAAGCACGGTGTAAGATGCCTTTCTGACCGGCAGGCTCAGCCAGAGACCCTTTTTGGCAGGGCTGCCGCTGGAACAGCAGCAAGTGTTGGGGTCTGCTCCCCCGCAGCAGTGGGGCTCAGCGGGGGCCAGAGGCTGATAAGGAACAGGCAGAGCAAAGGAGGGCCCGTTCAAATGGCTGGAGCTTGGTGAGTCAGGACTGAGGAAGTGCTAGAGCTCACGTCGAGAAAGATTTTTCAATGCAGTGGCTTCCTGCTGCTGATGATCCTCTGTACTCTCCACATATTTCAACATCCTGCATTAATGAGGGAAGTAGATTTAACTGAAAAAATAACCCCCAATCAAGCAGCTTCTGCTCCAAAGCTGAAATAGCTACTGAAAACATTCTATTTTTTCTGTGAAGCTGTACTGGAAGTTACGAAATAGCCCGGTGAGAATTGTGCAATCTGAGTTCAAAGCTCGATGACTCAGGGGTAGCAGCAAGCAGGGTGAAGCCGGCTGTAGGTTTTGCCCCACTGTCTCTCCTCAGCCTGGAGCAGGCCTTGAATGTAGGTACAGTAACAAAGCAACCAGTGAATTGGTGAGGTGAAAAGCTACAAACAGGAAAAAAAAAACAACAAAAACCTCAAATCCAATTAATTATGAAAACAGTGCACTAATGCTTGAAAGTGTTACGCTGAGTTTCTAGCCTGTGTTAGTACTCCTCAGTCCAGCACGAAGTTTATACTCAGTGCTATGAGGCCCTGTGAGGAGTGGCTTGTAATGAAAATGTGCTCATGGAGCCATTTAAGGAATGAAAAGTTACCTGCAGAAGGACCTGAGCCACTGGGCAAAAGGATGGCAGGTGAAATTTGGTACAGGCTCACGGTTTCCACTGGGGAAACAAATCCTAATTCCAGCCGTTCAGCAGCAAGCTGTAAACCCAGGATCACCGTGCAGGAACAATGTGACAGGATTATTGTAAGAACTCCATGAAATACCTGTCAGCTCCATGGTTGGCAGGAGTCAAAAAAGTGTTAGGGAAGGAGTAAAAAGAAGAAAATATTGCCTGAACCCTGACGCACCCACACTTGGGAGTGTTGCATGCAATTCCGGTGCCCAAAGGGCAACAAGGACACTCTGAGGCAAGGCAGAGTTTCCGTGGGAGAAGCGGTTGAATAGGCTGGTGTTCTGCTCTGGGAACTCGGAAGAACTGGTTCTTTGTGTGATTCCCTGCGTTGCAAGGCGTTGGGGATGCAGAAAGGCGATATGGGCTTCATGTAGGACTGGGCAAGTACTTAGAGATCTGTGTTGGGCTACCACCGATGCAAAACGGGACAGAGCCGGGAAACAGCTAAGCCAGTGAGGGGGCAGTGGCTCTGGGACAAGGGGAGGGACAGCGGGTACTGCTCCTGTTCTAGGTCTCCCCTGGGCATTTGCTGATGGAGGCTAGGTAACAAGATGGGCTTTGCCTGACGGGCTTTTCTTTCCCACACCCTCCGTCAGTTCGGCTGCAACCGTGCAGGCTGCAGAATCACTCATCTGCCTGCCTGAATGGTTATTAACTGGTCGCAGCCAGTTGTTGGTAGCCAAGCTGGGTGTTTGTCAGCGTGTGTAAAATCTCCCCCTGGCCGTGTGCCATTGTGTCTTTCCTCTGCAGGCAAGCCTCGAGTGAGGTCCAGTAAGGAGTTTGGCAAAGTATTTCTGTTCCGTGCCACCCTCCCGCTCTGCCAAGCTTGCTATGTGCAGGGTAGGACGCAGCACCGATTCACAGTTTGCAGAGCTCGCAAACGCTGTTTGTCCATCGTGCTGCCCTAGGTTTGCACTCAGATTTCAGCCTGACTGCACTATCGCGCGCAAGGGGTTTGAGTCTGCTCCTGTGAGCACCCACACGAGCCGATGAACGGGTAACGTGACCGCCATGTTTCACCCAACTCGCCCAGATTTATCAAGCCACAGCCTTAAAGAAAGTACACTTTTTTTATTTATTCAGGGAATCACAGCAAGCTACTGAGACTCCTGGCTCCTTTCCCCAGCATCGTTTCCCAAACATTCACATACAGTTTTTGAAAACATCAAGTACACTTCAAGAATTTGGAAGATGCACCATCATAAGCAAAACCTGCATGAGACATTGGGATTTCTGCCAGAGCAGCAGCCCCCTGCGAGAAAAACAGGCAGGTGCGCAGTGAGCTGAGCAGCCGGGCAGCGAATGCTGCGGCGCTCCGCTTTATTCTAGAACATTCTTGGGGACCTTCTGCAGAAGCAATTCAATATCATCCTGGATCTTGATGGTTTCAAAGTGCCGGCTGTAGCGTTTGAAGGGCACGCCGTCGGGGCCGATGAGGAACTTCTCGAAGTTCCAGGAGATGTCGTTGCGGCAGACGGGGGACCAGATGATGTACTGCGGGTTGGTCATCAGCGAGGAGGGGTCGTCGTGGGGGAAGGGCAGCGCCTCTTTCAGGAAGGTGAAGAGGGGGTGCGCGTTCTTCCCGTTCACCTCGCACTTCTCGAACATGATGAAATTGGGCTTGTACCCGTTGCCCGGACGAACGTGCTCCAGCTCCAGCAGGATCTCCTCGTTCGTAGCATTTTCCTAG